TTGCTATAGGGCGCGTGCGCTCGCCAGACAGACAGAGACATAGAGACAGAAAGCAAGAAATCACCCCCAGGGGGGATGGTCACGCCGCAATCCCTTCTCCTCCATTTTCCTCTTGGGATCTTGGGCACGCATGCACACGCACCTGGCGTGAGTTTTAAGCCACCGGGTCTGGGACGCGAACCGCGGTCGACTACATGGGAGTCCAGCGACATAGCCATTACGCTAACTGCTGGTTCCCACTCTCTCTCATTCTGTACCTCTCTGGTCAAATTAAAATAAATAAATAAAATTTAAAAAAAAGAAAAAAGAAAGTGAGAAATCAACCCCCTCCCCTCCCGGGGAATGGCTTTGTCACAGTCCCTTCTCTTCCTTTCTCCTCTTAAGATCCTGGACACACATGTGCACGTGCCCACGTGAGTTAAGTCACCAGGTCCAGGACTTGAACTGCAGTCGACTATGTGGGAGTCCAGTGATGTAACCATTACACTACCTGCTGGTCCTGGAGCTAGTCTTTATTTGATCTGACTGAGAGTTCAGTCAATGCAAAACTCTATTTGACTACACAATCAGCAACAAATTGTTTGATATTTCAGCTGCCGAAGGCAGGAATACCAGTCCAGGTAAACAAGAGTGGGTCAAAGGGGCCGTATGATGACATAGCCATGATGTAGCTGGACCCAGTTCCAGGGGGTGGTCCTGATTTTCATACATGCCCATGCTCTGGGCTGGCAGAACAGGGGGTGGGTCACAACAACGGAGATCCTGTTAGGGGGGCATCTGTCTGCTCGTCTTTCTCTCTCTCTGTGTATATATCTCTCTCTCACACATGGACTAATAAATTAATAAATAATAAATAGACGCCGACCAAAAAATGTAGAATAAAGGGAAATGAGATGCCTGTAGGGGCCCTTGAAAAGCTCTGACATGGGGCCAGCAGGTGGTGTAGTGATTAAGGCTTTGGACTCCCACATAGCCAACAGTGGTTCCAGTCCCGGGTGTGGCAACTTGAAACTCATGCTGGGTACATATGCATGCATGCCCAAAATCCTAAGAGGAGAATGGAGGAGAAAGATTTGTGGTGTTCCATATCCCCTGGGTGGTGATTTCTTACTTTCTCTCTGTCTGATTCTGTTTCTCCAGCCAGCACATGCACCCTCTACCAAAAATCTCTCTTAAAAACAAAAACAAAAACAAGGACCAGCAGATGGTATAATGGCTACATTGTTAGACTCCCATGTAGTCGACTGTAGTTCGAGTCCTAGACCCAGTGGTTTAAGCTCACGCTGGACATGTGTGTGTGTATGTCCAAGAATGGAGGAGAGGGGATTGTGGCATGGCCATCCCCCCTGGCAGGTGATCTCTCACTTTCTGTTTCTGTCTCTCTGTCTTTCTGGCGAGCACACATGCCCTATAGTAAAACCTCTTCAAATAAATAAATAAATAAGAAAAGCTCTGACATATTCCTGGGCATCTAGAAGTTCACATGCATTTGCAGAACTGTGCCCATGGACAAGAACTATCTGAGAAGGTTCCAGTCTCGTGACTCAGGTCACCTTTAGATCTTACACTATTGGAAAGCAAAGGTAAAGGCAGAGGAATCTGTCAGAGTATTGAAGGCTTGCACCAATGAACACGTAAAGCCCCTTGGCAAAGAGGGGGATAGTTACCGATTCGAGGCATGTAAGGAAATCTCAGTCCTATTTTTAGCTGACCAGTAAGCTACCAGGCAAATAGAGGATAGCAATAAAGAGAAAGATGATTATTATAATTATTATTTAGAGAGATTTTTGCTACTGGGAGTGTGTGCTCACTGGAGAGATGGAAAGAGACAGAGACACAGAAAGCAAGAAATCACTGTCCAGTGGGTATGGCCTTCTCCTCCATTCTCCTCCTGGGGTCTTGGGCACACACTCGCATGCGCCCAGTGTGAGTTTTAAGCCACTGGGTCTGGAACTTGAACTGTGGTCGGCTATGCAGGAGTTCAGCAATGTAACTATTACACCTTCTGCTGGTCTCAAGAAAAATTATTTTAATTTTTTTTTTAGATTTTTTTTTTTAAGAGAGATTTTTGCTAGGGGGCGTGTGGGCTTACTGGAGAGACAGAAAATGAGAAATCACCTCCCAGGTTTGGGGGGGATGCTCACACCGCAATTCCTTCTCCTCCAGTCTCCTCTCTGGATTTTGGGCACACACACACACATTTACCTTGAGTGAGTTTGAAGCCATCGATTCTGGAACTTGAACCATGGTTGACTATGTGAGAGTCCAGTGATGTAACCATTATGCCATTTGCTGGTCCCTAGATTTTTGCCATAGGGTGCATGTACTCGCTGGAGAGAGATGGGGTAGAGGGCACGGGGAGTGAGAAATCAGCCCCGCAGGGGGACGGCCATGCTTCAGTCCTTTCTCCGTTTTTCTCTCGGGATTTTGGGCAGACACACACACGCGCCTGGAGTGTTTTTCAAGCCCCTAGTTCTAGTACTTGAACCATGGAGTTGGCCATATGGGATCAAATGCCTTAACCACCATACTCTCTACTGGCCTTCTGCTGGAATTAATTTAAGGGTATCCAATTAGGTGGTGAACAGAAGACTGAGACAACCTTCAGGTGATAAGGTTGAATTGTTTTCTTGTTATGTCTGTAGCTTGAGAATTAAGATAAAATTCTGTTTAAAGCCAAACTGTAGATCAATCACAGTAGCACATGCTGGTTAATGCAGCTATGTGATAGAGTGAGCCCACAGGGGAGGCCCAGTCTGGGTGGCTGATTCTCAGCCCACCCAGAAAAGTCAGGCTCTGGGGCGTGCACCTATATTCCTAGTTACTCAGGAGGCTGAGGCAGAAGGAGCATGGTATAGAGAGAACATGTCCAAAAAAAAAAAAAAAAAAAAAAATCCAAATGGCATTAGGTATTATGTTCCTAAATTAAGAATCTATTTTAGTTAATGTTTTAAAGAAATATGAAGCCATAACAAAAGTCATTGTTATTTTTACTCTAGAGTGCTAGGTAATGTATTCAGAGGTTAGAGTGCTGCCCTGTAACTCGGCAGTTTCGGGAGCTTTAATTCAGCACCATTTAAAAAATAATTTTGGGGGTGGGCAGCAAGGTGGTGTGGTTAAGACTCCCACATAGCCGACCACAGTTCGAGTCCCAGGCCTGGCAGCTTGCTTTCTCAATTTCCCTCTCTTTCTCACTTTGTCTTTTTCTGGTGAGCACACATGCCCTATAACAAATAATACTAATTACTACAATTAGATAATTCTTAAATGTATTATGATTTTCATTGCCAGAGAGCACATGTGCTTGTCAGAGAGAAGTAAAGGGAGAGGGAGAAAGCACCCTGTAATGGGTCACACCACAATCCCTTCTCCTCTATCTCACGACTCCAGGAAATGCATGCACATGTTCCCGAAATATTTTTAGGCCACTGGGGTGGAAATTAGGATTGCAGTCAGCTACATGAGATCTGGCTCCTTTAAGACTGCTATGGAGCCAACCCTATTTTC